ATGCCTCCAAGCCCCACTTCTCTAGAGCCTGAGGCCTCAAACCCCAAGCCCTAAAGCCCTAATCCATAAACCTTAAACCCTAAATCCCCAAACCCTAAGAACGCCTATCAACCCGCAAGACGGAACCCTAAACCCAAGGTCCGAACGCTGGCCCCGAACATTTTCCCCACCGGTTTCCTGGGTCCTACTTGCGCGTCGGACTTCTAGGGTTTTATTGTGTATGTAATAGGCATATCTATATACCTAACTTAAATACCTGTATATCACAGCGGGAAGCCCCGCCAGCCGAGGCGGGCGCGCGCTAGCGTTTACAATTTAGGGATTAGGGTTTAGGGTGTAGGGTTTAGGGTAAGGGTTGAGGGTCTAAGGATGAGGGTTAAGTAGATCCCCCCGAAAGGGGTTATGTAGGGGTTATATAAGGGTTGTTTAAGATTTAGGGTCTAGGGTGTAAATTTTAGGGTTTAGGGTTCAGGGCTCTAGGGTCCTGAGGGATAGGTTATGGGGTTATCCCATTACTTACGCAAAGGGGATCCTGACCCTCAAGACCCACATTGGGATCCCACTTTGAGCGCCGCGCGTACGGCGTTCAGATGCACCCATCAGTTTCCCACAGTTGCGGATTTCCGCTGGGGTTTCGGAACGCTTCAAAGCCAGTTGCGGTTTGGACTGCCAAACCTGAATCCCTCCAAACCTAACTACTAAAGCTGAACGCCCTGGAAGCTGAAACCAATAAAACTGTCATGAGGCCGGCTTGGAGGGTCTCTTAAACTCAATTAGCATACCTATGTTGGACAAGATTATTAAATTAGCAGGACTGTATAGGGTTACAAAGTAATGTCCACACCTGAGGTTTAGGGTTTGAGGTTAATAACAAAAAGCCTACATGTGGGGATTTAGGCCAGCGAGATGCTCTGACTTGTCTCAAGGCTGACTGACCTTCTAAACCCATGTAATGAAAGGTTCCATTTTCTTCTCCATAATTGGGGTAATATCCCTATAAAACTCTATATACCCAGTTAAAGGGATCTAAGGTTTTTATTTTCCGTTTTCTTGTCCATTTGCTTCTCCATTGTTACAGTAATATTCCTAAACCCTAAACCCAGATCCTCTGGGAAATGTCCGACCCTGTGGGAAATGTCCGACCCTGATTCTTTGGGGAATATCCCTACACCCTTAACCCTGATTCTATGGGAAGTATCCCAAACCCTAAACCTGATCCTGCGGGATTTATCCTCAAACCCTGGACCGTGATTATTTGGGATATATGCCTAAATCCGAAACCTGATCCTCTGGGATATGAAGTATCCCTTAAGCCTAAACCCTGTTCTTATGAGATATATCCCTAAACCCTAAACCCTGGTTCCTTGAGATACATCCCTAAACCCTAAACCCTGTCCTTATCAGATATATCCCTAAACCCTAAACACTGGTTCCCTAAGATATATCCCTACACCTTAAACCCTGATTCCTTGAGATATATCCCTAAACCCTAGAACCTAAACCCTAAACCCTACACCGTAAACCCTCAACCCAAAACCGCAGGCTCTCTGGCCTCTGGACAGGCGGCGCCAACCACCTCACGGAGGGTTTGAGATCGGTAGTCTGACCTAAAGTCCCCCTTAAGTGATATAGTCCCCCTTAATATTGGGATTATATTGGGGTTTTATAGGGATAATGGAAAAGAACATGGAAACTACTATTTAGGGTTTAGGGTTTAGGGTATAGGTATAGTTCCCCTTAAGTAGATAGAATATGGCTTTGGGTATATTGTAATAAGATCTCCATATACCCCATATTCTATCTACTTAAGGGGGACTATAACCCTAGGGTTTAGGGCTTTGGGTTTAGGGTCTAAAGAATACCAAAATATATTGCGTACACAAAGTGTGGGCCGTGACCTAAAGCAGGTTCTGCTCAGCCCAAAAATGTGGTCTGCTGGGTCAGTCATGCCGAAGAGGACAGGTCATCAAATACGGCAAAATCAAATAGAAAAGATAGTGGAAAATGAAATGGAGACCCTAGGGTTTTTTTTAAAGCAGAAGTGCCTGTCCTCAGTGGCACGTGCACGGGCACACAGAAAACAACTCACGCTTGTCATAATCTTTGGACAAACGAATTCCAAGCGTTCATCCTATCATAGAGTATCCAAGCTTCTTAGGCCAAGCATCCAACTCCCTAAACCCTAAACCCCCCCTTCCAAAGTCCAGTCAACGTTCGGCCAGATGTCCACTTGAACCCATTCACCTGAACAGCCACTGGACTGTAAACCGCGCGCCCGGTGAACACTTGCCATGTCCTGACTTTGCCCTCATCAGGCTACTTGGACTGTCAAAAGGGCTCAGAAAGGGCTCAGAAAGGGCTTAGAAAGGGTTTAGAAAGGGTTTAGAAAGGGTTTAGGGTTGAGCGTGATTGTCCAAGCCCATCAAAGGCTGATGAAGGCAACGCATTCAAGATAACTGGTCCGCGTCATCAGTAAAGACTTACCTGGACTAAAGCAAACAACCCTGAACCTTGGACCCTCCATCCTAGACCCTAAACCATAAACTTATTTTTGATCCCTTGAGCCGCCTGTAACAAGTACCCGAGGGATCTATTTTGAACACTACAGCCTGTAAATAATCTACATTGGGCTATTTGGGTCCTTAGGGGTATGAAACCCAAAACCCTAAATCCTAAACCCTGAGTCCTAGACCCTAAACCCTAAACTCAGTTTTGACCCCTCGAGCTCCCTACAAATAACATGTCCCGGCCTCATGATAGTGGCCACCGAAGGATCCCTCTTCCTTCAGAAGGCTGAGGATACCCTCCAAAGGACTACGTCTGTGGAGCTTGTATGATTGTACAAATGGATTTGGTAGTTTCCATAGGGACCTCAATATAGACGCCAAAATACTATAGTCCTCATTATTGGGACCTCCAAAATGAGAACCCTAATTTTTGGAAACCCCCGTGTCCCAATGTTGGATGGCATGGAAACAGGGTGCTAAGCCTGGTCTCGAAGTCACCTCAGAACGCATCGACTACTTGAACTGATCTGAGGGGCGGCGTCCCCTCAATAAGAAGTAAATTGGTGGGGGCAAGTAGGATTATAGTGTTTGCGGCCATAATGGTGTACCCCCTATTGATGGAAACTACCATCTGCATTCGATGACATGTCTGATGTGTCTGGAGTACCCACGTTTGGCTTGAAGTTTATCATCTTGAGTGATACTTTTGTTCTCATCCTACAAACCCTAAACCCTAAACCCCTAAACCCTAAACCCTCACCCCTAAACCCTAAACCCCTAAACCCCTAAACCCTAAACCCACAGAAACCTAAGCTGCATGAACGTGACAACCTTGGCAAATGCCTGAGGTCCTTCAAGCCTCTTGATAGCGAAGGCAATGCAGTAGCCCGCTTGTGCTGCAGATTATATTATCCCTCCTATATTATCCCTATACAATCCCTATATAATCCCTATATTGTCCCTATATTGTCCCCATATTATCCCTATATTGTCCCTATATTGTCCCTATATTGTCCCTATATTATCCCTAAGTAATCCCTATACAACCCCTATATTGTCCCTATTCAATCCCTGACACCACTGCAAGGCACCACTCAAGCCGGGAACAGCGGCGGAAGCCCCAGGGTCATTAGCAGCCTTACTGAAACCTTCATCTTAACGGAATCTAGGGTTTAGGGTTTAGG